TCAAATGTATACCTAACCAAGGAACACTGGTACTTACTGGATAATACATGACTTGTTATGCAATCAAATGGCATATGACAACACAGAAATATTGCAACCAACTATGATGTTCCTGCGACCTGCCAGTTATTGTAGAGTTTGTTTTGATGACAGATGATTTGAAGGATATAGGTACAGGGTGTTTTAAGTGTTTTGTCATAGTATATTTCACTATGAAATATGTAAATTATGAAAATCTGACCTATGTTAAAACAATTTGGAATCATAATATATTCTAGTTGAATTTGATATTAATTCATTGGCATGAATTTGTGGTTTTAAACTAAAATCAGAAGATTTAAATATTATGCTACTTTAAATTTCAATATGATTTGAAACTATCTATCACATACAATTCAGAAGATCCTGTATGTTTAATTACAATTGAAAATGGCAACAAAATAAAAATAATGTTTCACATATTGGATTTAAATATTTCAACAGACTACAAAATAAATTAAGTGTGTATAAATATTTTTAATTGTAATATTATTTAATTATTATAGTGAGAATTAATTTTTTTAGATAATCAAGATAATTGTAAAGAAGTGGAAAAAATCTAGCTGGACTAAAAACATATCACCAATGATGTGTATTGAAAAAAAAAATGTTGCTAATGTTAATGTTTTGTAATTGTATAATATTTTATAATTAATTTAAATGAGGTGACAACATCAATCATTAAAACTCAAAAGATAAAATAATGTATGTTGTGTTTAATACACATATAGTATGTAGATTGTGTAAATCAAATAATGAACTTAAAAAAAAATAGGTATGTGATTAATAATTATATTTCAATTATAACTAATAAGAACAATAGTATAAATGCTCAGTGTAATGTATTTAAAAAATATATATTATTATTATTATTTTAATGATATTGGTATTACATTGTATAATGATAAATACTAAATTCTTCTGTCAATGATTGGTGTTGTCATAATAATTATCTAGTGTGAAATTCATATAATATTATTAACACCATTTTTAAATTTTACTATATTTTAAGTCTGGGGTGTTTGGAAAGTTTGTTTTAATTTTTTGAATACATGTTATATCTTTACTCATATTTTGCATAACTGCAAAACGAACATTTTGATTAAACTGTATCATCATTTTGAAATAAATTTTTCATACTCCTGGGCTTCTAAGTAAAGTAAAATTGTTTATTGGCTCATAATAATATTAGTAAACAATTTAAGAGATTAACTATAGAGGTATGAACTTGGTCATGAACAGGGTTCAGGGCTAAAAAGAGCCTAAAGTCTTCAAAATAAACACATACAATTTTTTTAAATAAAAAAGCAATTTCTAAAACGGCTACTCTTTCCCTTCAGGTTCCAAAATAAAAATGTAATTTTTTTTAAGACTTTCTAGTTTTTGATAATTATTGTTATTGCTTGCATTATTTTAAAGTAGAAAATATACATTTGAAACTATTAATGCATTAAAAAGAAACCACCTAAATAAATAAAAATAAGCACTACATTTTATATATTTTGAAATCTAACCTATACCAGATTTTTTCAAGACATTAAATTAAGCAAATTCTTGGCTCAAACTCTGTTCATGACATTGAAATGAGTTTTTACAAAAATATAATTATTTAAGTTTATCGGTGCCCTATGTATTTGGATGTATATTATTGTTATTTAAATAATGATTAAATTTATGTGATTGGTCAAAAAGAAAAAAATATGCGACCAAATATGTTACAACTATTGAAGCAACTTATGGCGGATTATTTATATTATACTTAAATTTAATTTTATATTGAAATTGTAAAAACTAAAAAAATTGTATCCCTAGTTTTTAATCAGTTGAAAGCTAATATATTTATTATAATGTACCTATTATTAACCTGTTAAAAATATTATTCAAATGTATTGAGTCTATACTATAGGCGGTATAGACATATTATAGTATATTCAGAATTGTAAATTGTATATAAATGAACTTAACTATTTAATATAATATGTAATTCATAATATTATCGTTTTATAAATAAATAATTATTAATATCAAATCTTCAAAATATTACCTATTCTGTGATACTACTAAGTAAATAAAAAATAAATTGGTCCAACAAATATTTCATCTTTCAAGTTATTTAGGTATGTATACGTCACAGATATTACAGAATTAATAGGCCATTTTTAAAAATATAGAATTACAATATAATATTGTTATCTATTGTTATTACTCTAAGCTTCTATACTACAGAATAAAAATATTTAAAAAATAATTTATATTTTATAGGTATTCATTTTTTTGTAATATTTTCTGTTCATGTTTATCCATTACGATAAGCTTAATAAATGTCCTAGACACAGAATAAATTTAATTTAATCTATTTTGTGCCCTAAATATCCATTATGTAATCTGTAATACCTGTAATAGTGTGAATATTGAATTCCTAGCTATATAAAAAAAGTTCCTATTTATTTTCAATAGTAGGTAGGTAAATTAGTACATATGTATAACCTATGACTATAAGGCCATAGGGCAATAGGATAGACACATAGTCCATCTACAAATATACAAAATGTATTAAGAGGACGCTACTCATACATTTGTTGTCTCCGTCATACACACTCACGACATAGCAAATTGTCATTCACTAGTTTCAATAATGTGCTGTTAGTTTTGATACTAGAGTGAATTGACCAATTATAAAACTTTTAGGTCAGAACATTATCTGTGCTTAAGGGTTGCCAATTTTTCAAAATTTTAATTTTCAAGCAAGATAAAAAAAAACTGTTTGTTTTGTTTGTTTGCGCTCGAACAAAAAAATTGAAAATATCCCTCGAGTTTCTACGCAACATTACGTCCTCAGAACGATAATTATCATTGATGTATTTATATAAAACAAAAAATTGTTTCCGGGTGAATTTTACCGCTACCGCCACAGTGTGTGAGCCTTTAACTATTGTAGCCCGTATAGGTACAAAGTACAATGATTATCAAACCTTGGATTGAACGATATCGATTTTATTACATTTAACTTCTGGTCTTTACAAATGGAAAATACTACATAGTTATGCTGCAATAACGTATGAGCCATGGGGTGAAATGCATGAAACCCTGCTGGATGGGCCTATACGCTACACCAGTGGTTCTTAACGGGGGCGCTACCGCCCCCTTGGGGGCATTTCGGTCTCTATGGGGGGCGATAGTTTTGAAGGGGGCGTTGAGGGGGCGGTGAGCTTTTTCAAACTAGGAGATTAAAAATAATACAATTTATTAATATTATATAAAAACACTACAAATAATTGAACTTGAAATCAGAATAGTTGTAATTGCGTACGATACAACGATATACGGAATGTTATCTAATCGCATTTAACGTATCGGGAACGTCTTGTTTATAAAAAATGTATTTTTACATTTTCAACCATAACTGGACTATTGTACCTTGTAAGTTGAAAAAGGATTCAGCGTTGTTGTTCAGCTTTTGACGAAACAAAGAAATCGGTTGGACATTTGTAACAAAGGTGATCTACGTTTAGCTTTGACCAATATCGAACCAGACATCGCCACATTAGCAGCTACTCATCAGGCTCAGGGCAGTCATTGATAGGTATAATTTTTATATTTTTAATTTTTTTTTTTCATAGTTAAGTAATTCTTTTTGTATAGTAAAGTAAAATGTTTTTGTTAAGTGATGAAAAATATAACCTTTATTATCTAAAAATAAGAGTTTTTACTTTAATTAATAATGTTATACTGTAATATACTTATGAATAAATAAATATATATATATATCTTTATTAGAAGAAATTTTGAATTTGAGGGGGGGGGGCGTTAGCAGTAAGTTATTACGATAAAGGGGGCGCTGAACTAAAAAAGGTTAAGAACCACTGCGCTACATAATGTGCATAAAAGGTCCTTACTATATTAATTTGAATTGTGTAATATTTATTACTCTGGGACATAAAAATCCTAATTGTTGCGGTACCTACAACTGACTAGGTATACACATTTACTCACCAACACCTCCCAGAACAACTCAACTTTGAAGGACAATATTTCATCAACGGATTAACAAAAAATGAAAAATTAAACGTGATAATTCATAAAAAAAATAGCATTATTAATTTATGAAATTTTAAGTATAGGTTACCATTTGAAAATCAAAAGTTGATAGTAGTTTACCTAATTAATATAAGGGTGAAATACATAAAACTAAAATTAAAAAAAAAAAAAAAATCTAAAAAAGTTAATACTTTTCAAGAGTGTTCAACGATAAAAGAATCACCCTGTATATGTACCCATTGAAGACCATGATTGTATTGTGACGTTAGTGGACTGTATATTTCGACATTTAAAGTATGTATAACTCTCGATTTTATTATCATTTATATTTTATTATAATTAAACACCTTTAATAATTAATATAAACCGTTGAGGTATTTAGCTACGACGATCGACTAGCGACGACTGTCGTACACACACAAAAAAACAATTACTACGGTCGCTCATGCGAACGACGATATCTTATCTTATTCAATATAACATTAATAATATTACTGGACTCGACGGAGCACCATACGCAGTGGGGACACAACATACCGCCCCCCTTGAAACATTTTCAACACAAAAAAAATATAATTACATATGAGCGTGATACAAATTATTTTACAATAACATAAAAAAAATAAACACTGAATTGAGTATAATATTAAATAATTCTCAAATCAAGTTAATATATAACTATTGTAGGTACAAAAAAATATATACTCTGTCCAGCGAGAGAACGTGCCGCGCACCGACCAAAACTGGTTCCCCCACACAACACTCTGCCATAGGGGAACCGGTTTCGATAGCAAGGAGACGCGGGGAAATGCGCAGAATCGGCGCGTTCTCTCGCTGGACAGAGTATAGTTTCAAAATGTTGATCCCTAGTTGTAACAAAATGTCCAACAAAGGAACATAATATATTAATATAAATCAATTAACTATTTATTGTTATTCCCGTCAAAAGGGAGGGGATTACCTAGGGTAAATTTCCGTACTGCTCGTGTGATTGAGCCCTTTTCCAACTTGACCTCAGCCGAACGAATGATTTCATCAGGACCCCGTTGCACGCTTGTCACTCTACCCAATTTCCAATACAGGGGGGAAAGATTTTCGTCACGAACTAGGACCACAGTACCAATGTCTAATTTAGGCCCTTTCTCGACTGCCCACATTTTCCTCTCCTGGAGTTGATTTAAATATTCCCGACTCCACTTTTTCCAAATGATTTGGGAATAATGGTTCAATCTACGCCATTGTGTCAATCAGTTTATGTTGACATTCGCTACGTCAGGTTCGGGAATGGCTAATATAGAGTCACCTATTAAGAAATGACCTGGCTTCAATACTGACAAGTCATTTGGATCGGTAGAAATAGGAGTAAGTGGACGGGAATTGAGACAGGCCTCAGCGCGAGTGAGTACAGTATACAGCTCTTCATACGTCAAATGAACATTGCCTAATGTTTTTTGAACTAGATTTTTCATTGATTTAACGGCTGCTTCCCATAATCCGCCGAAATGCGGAGAACGCGGGGGTATAAATCTCCATTGGACTTCAACTTCTGATAGCACTTCCTCGACCTTCTTCTTATGTTGTTCTGTTTGGAATAGGTCGTACCACTCTTTTAATTTACGACTTGCACCAACAAAATTAGTTGCATTATCCGAGTATATAGTTATACTCTTTCCGCGTCTATCAAAAAATCGATTTAGAGCACTGATAAATGCTTGCGTGGATAGGTCTCCGACCAATTCTATGTGTACGGCCTTAGTCGTAAAACATACAAACATACATACATAACCCTTTAGTAAAGGCGCGTTACGGCGTATACTAGATTTAATTAAGAACGGTCCCGCGAAGTCGATTCCACATTTCAAAAACGGACGTGCTGGTTCAACGCGATCGGCAGGTAATTGACCCATATTGGTTGTATTACGACCAGCTTTATCGAAAACATTTTACGCATCGATGTACGGTACTTCGAGCTATATTTCGACCATTTAATGGCCAATATAGTAAACGTATCGCTAATAAGGTGGCTTGTGGTCCACCGTGCATACATCGTTCGTGTTCACATTTGAACAATAAGCGCGTAAAATGATTATCTGCGGGCAAAACAATCGGGTGCCGCTGATTAATGTCTATCGTTGTAGCATTTTTCAAACGTCCTCCCACTCTTATTAAACCGTCGTCGTCTATGAAAGGGCACAATCGAAGTAATTTACTTGATGCTTTGACATTTTTTAATTTCATTAAATCTTGTACTTCGGAATAAAATTCTTTCTTTTGAATAGTATTTATTATTACGACACGGGCGTTTTTAATTTCTTCCTTGCTAAGTGAACCTTGACCTTGACCCTTTATGTAATAAATTGTATTTATAGCGTAAACAATATGCTATTACGTGGAGCAATCTGCTCATAGACGAATATTTATTTAAGACTAATAATAAAAGGTTGTCATTGTGTGAGTCGATACATACATTTGAAATAGTGATTTCTCGTAATTCAGGTATTACCAAATTCGACGTATTGTCGTTGTTATTACGTATCTGTTCGTCTCTAATTAGCCACTCGGGTCCAAACCACCATAATGACATTTGACTTAATTTCGATGGACAGCAACCGCGTGAAATAATGTCAGCGGGATTCTCTTTAGTACTAACATGTGACCAATTTGTGATGGAAGTCCGTTCTTGTATTTCGCCGACCCGATGAGCTACGAATGTTGTCCATTTAGTTGAAGGAGAAGTAATCCAAGCTAGGACGATTTTTGAGTCGGACCAGAAATAACTTTTACTTATCTTCACATGTAATTTTGGAATTATTTTGCTCGCTAATCTCGCTAGTAAAAGTGCGGCACATAATTCGAGTCTAGGTAATGATATAATCTTTAATGGTGCGACCTTAGACTTAGCGCATATTAATTTCGAAGTGTGTACGCCGCTGGAGTTGGTGGTGCGTAAATACAAACAACAACCATAAGCATCGATACTGGCGTCGGCAAATCCGTGAATTTGTATGTTTATGATATCGCCTTCGCATGTAATTTTCCGGGGTATCATTAAGTTATTTAAAAGGCATAACGAGGCTCTATACGTAATCCATTGTTCTTTAATGTCGTTCGGGAGCGGGTCGTCCCGGTTTATGCCCAGTTCACCGACACCCAATTCGCCGACACCCGGTTTTTTTTATCAAAAAACCAGTTTTTAATGGTTTTTAAAAAAAGCCCAATTCGCCGACAAATGATATTGACGACATGCTTTGTTGCATTGCAATAAAACTATAATAGCTACTATCATAATCTGTAAATTTATTTTATCGTGCACGATGAGTAGGTATAAGAACAGGTACCTATCGGCTATGATATCGGCAAAGTTATGATATCTGTAAACATATTTAATGATGAGTATAAGATATAGTATTATAGGTACTTAAAGTTTAAAATTTCGTAAGCTCGAGGAACAGTTGAAAAATGTTAAAGAAAGGTACGCAAAATATTTATTTTATGCAACATACTATTATGACTACTTAAAATAATGTGTAGAAAAATGGATACCATATTTATATCTATCTATATTTTAAATACATAATTATATTTTACTATTTCAGGTTAAGAGAAAACGAAATTACTCTAATTGAGTATATTGACACCATAAAATATCATATTCGCATTTAACAATTTTTATTTTTATTTATACTTTTTATTATATGATGACTATGTAATATATTTACTATTTTATATTTTTGTATTACATGTTATTTATATATTTATATAACTGAACTGTACTTTTTCAAATTGGGTGTTGTCAAATTGTGTGTCGGTGAACTGGGTGTCGGCGAACTGGATTTCGGTGAACTGGGTGTCGGCGAACCGGATGTCGGCGAATTGGGTGTCGGCGAACTGGGAATACACCGGTCGTCCCATTGTATTTTTAATCGCCACAATTGTTGCAACATTAACTTGGCCTGTATAATCGCAGGACCGACTAAACCTAACGGGTCGAATAGACATGCGATTTCAGATAATATTAATCGTTTCGGAATATGATTTATGAACTTGAAATTATTTGCCTTTACTTCGAATTGAAATGCATCGATATCGGAGTTCCAAAATAAACCAAGTACCTTCGTTATCGCATTGTCGTCGCTTATGGGTATAGTTTTATTACCTTCCTGATTGTTCGATATACCTTTAATTAAATTTATATTATTCGACGTCCACTTCCGTAGTTCTAAACCGGCAGATAGCATTGTTTTGATTAGACCGTCTCGTAACTGACTGGCTGCTTCATAAGAGCTAGTGCCTCCTAAAAAATCATCCATGTAAAAATCACGTTTTATCACTTCTGATATTACGGGGTCGACGTCCTGAGACTCCGCTAGTTTATGTAAGCACCCGGTGGCCATGAAAGACGCGGGAACGGTCCCATACGTAATTGTTTTAAGCTGAAATATCCTTATGTTTTCCTGTGGATCAGTACGCCACAATATACGTTGAAACGTCCTATGTTCATCAGCCACCCAAAATTGCCTATACATCTTTGTAATGTCCGCCGATAATACAAAGTTATGTATTCGAAAACGTGCGAGTATATATATCAATTCGTCTTGCAATACGGGTCCTTTTATTAATACGTAATTTAAACTTATACCACTACTAGTTTTGCACGACAAATCAAAAACAACTCGGAGGCGTGTCGACGTACTCGATTCCTTTACGACGGCGTGATGTAGTAAATAACATTCCCTTTTATCTTCATTTACTTGGTTATCATGTACCTGTTCCATATGTCCTAAACGAATATATTCATCTAGAAAAAGGGTGTAATCATTTTTTAATTTTTCATTGTTCGCAAAACTTCGCTCGAGAGCTAGCAGTCGACGTTTTGCTATGTCATATGAGCTACCAAGACAATACGTTTTCACGGAACAGTAAACGTACAATGAATCGACCATCAGCGCCTCTTGTCACCGTCCTATCGAAGTATTTTTGACACGCCTTTTCCTCGATGGTGTATGTGACTTTTCCTTCGAATTCTTCCATACGCCAAAACAACGGTAATATAAATTATGTTCTACTGTCATGTTGATGTCGGTCTGAGTTGACGTAAAGTGACACGAGATGTTGTCTTGCGACTCCGTGTTACGATTACACACTGGTAACGATCCCGAAACTATCCATCCGAGTCTTGTTTCTTGGAATATAGGGCCATCTGCCGTGGGTTTGACCTGACGTTCACGTATTAATTCATAAAAATGTGCTGCACCTATTAATATATCGATCTTTTGTGGAGACCAAAATAATGGATCGGCTAAATTTATACCTGTCGGTATATGACCTGTATTATTTATGTGTTTTGATGGTATATTCCCGGTAATCTTAGGTACTACTACCATTTTTAATGTTAAACTATAGTCGTCAAATCTCGATTTAAATTTAGTAATTACGTAAGAATGCGCGTGTTGTACCGTTGAACCGATACCACTAATCTGATGATCAGTTTTTGACTTTTTTAATTTTAAGCTTTGGACTAGTTCTTCCGTAATAAAATTGCTTTGGGATCCTGAATCTAATAACGCGCGGCATAACGAAAGTTTTTTACTGTCTCCGAATGCCTGTACTATCGCCGTTGATAATAGCACTTGTTCGTACTTGACGCAGTGCGCGTGTGTGGTCGTGGACGTATTCACTTCAGTTTGACGCTTTTCTTCTATTGTCGATTTTCCGTCATTCGTTTTATATTGAATAATATGTAATAACGTATTATGTGTTTTACCGCACTTAAAACAATTAACGCGACATGCATTTTCTTATCAAATCATGTTTGCGTAAACATAACTTACACAATCCAAGTTCACTCACTTTCTTGATACGATCATTCACTGATAATGATATGAACGTTGGACATTTATAAATAGTGTGCTGTAAATTACAGATAAAACAACTTATATCTGTAGTGGTGGTAAATGCTGTAGAAGCTGCACGATCTTTATTTTTTTTGTACACACTATTTTTAATTTCTGTTGCGTATTTTATATTTCTTACAATATTTTTGGACGACTCCACAGCTTCTAAAGATTGCGAACGCTCGTTCAAAAATATAATTAACTCTTCGATCTATGCGATGACGTTTTTTGGAGCCTTCATCTCCCACTCCGTTAACGTATTCGTGTCTAGTTTCGTGCATATAATATGTATGAGTAGAGGGCCCCAATCTTTCGGACGTTGTTTTAACGCTTCAAGAGACGCTATATGACCGCTTAAAGTGTCCGAAAAAATTCGTAAGCTATCTGATGAATTTTCTTTTACTTCGTTTAATTCACATATATCTTTTACATGAGATTGAATTAATAATTTTTCGTTATTATAACGCGCGTTCACCGTTGCCCAAGCGTGTTCGTAATTTATAGCTGTGGTTTCGAAATTTTTTATGCAATTCGCTGCATCTAAAGTAAGCGATGACCGTAAGTGAAAAAAATTTTTAATTGGTGTAAATCTATCGTTTGTATGAACACATGCTATGAACATGTCCTTAAATGGTGCCCAATCGGTGAACTTACCACCGAACACCGGTATGTTTAACGGAGCCAGTTTTATGTCCTATGACGTTGAGTTAACGCTCTCCCACGATCTGAGCTTCGGACTGACGTATCATTCTGGTTCACTCGGATAGAGCTTGTCTTTTGCTCAGCTTCCGCAACTGTCTCAAAAAATAAATTTTCGAAATCGATTCTATATTGCGAATGATCCGATGTACTATCTACTTCTTCGATCGCAGTTTGAACTAACTCAAAATTTTGCCATGCTTCTTCTACTTTGATCTGACGAGGAGGTTTTTGTTTTAAATCGCATTCCGATGACCTTATGAAATTTTGAAATCGCGTTACTACTGCTTTAATTTGACCGCGTCGCGCAATTAACGTATTGATATCGGGATCAACCATTTCAATCTAAACTATGATGGTTACTTTATGGGTATGTATGCAGTGCTATTTAGCTGGCGAGGTGCTCGAGGTTATATGATAGATAAGCACGATACGGTTATTCTATTGTACCTATAAGCTGCTATCGATAATTGCCTTTTCACTGTGACAATTTTATTACCTTTGATAACGTAACTGTACTCTACTCTTTAGCCTGACCGGGAATTACTATATTTATTTTAGTAACGATACAGGAATACTTTTAAATAATATGGAAAAGGAAAATATGAAAGTGACTCTCTTACCTTGACAGTTGACTTTCTTCTTTTTTCAATGTTGAACTGGCTTACTGTATCCTTACGCTTGACTTTAGGACTCAGCAACTGCACTTTACTTTAACAACCGATTTTTCTTTTTTCGATGTTGAATTAGTTTACTGTATCCTCACGCTTGACTTTAGGACATAAGCAACTACACTTTTACGCAGCGATGGTACTTGTGACAGGGAACGATATGACGCTATATCTACTTCAGTATCCGATAGTTAAGACGATCGATGTAACTAAATTTCGCATTTGATCGAACGAGCACGCGCGTGGTTATTAATCCGGACGAATGGACCAAATGTACCCATGAAGACCATGATTGTATTGTGACGTTAGTGGACTGTATATTTTGACATTTAAAATATAACGCTCGATTTTATTATCATTTATATTTTATTATAATTAAACACCTTTAATAATTAATATAAACCGTTGAGGTATTTAGCTACGACGATCGACTAGCGACGACTGTCGTACACACACAAAAAAACAATTACTACGGTCGCTCATGCGAACGACGATATCTTATCTTATTCAATATAACATTAATAATATTACTGGACTCGACGGAGCACCATACGCAGTGGGGACACAACAATATATTTGATCTGAAATCGTTAGGATCAACCGAAATGTCAAATGTTAACTGGGTTTTGAATTTTTCATTAAAAATATTTATTTGTTCCTTATCTCGATGCTTGATATCTTTGATTTCATAACATTCCTCTTCCAGTTTAATAAAACACCGCATACGACCAGTATTATTATTTTTATGGTTGTCTACTTGTGTAGCAAATTTATTATTTTCTTTGTTGATATTCGGGAATGAATTAGATGTCTGCAAACATAACAAAGCTATTTCTGAGTCTTCGTGAAGGTTTATAGACGGAAAATAATTTGTGGACAATATAATTGTGTTCCTAGTTAAACTTAAAGTAACTGACTCGTACCTACATCCTGATATCTGAGATATAAATTTAATAATGTGACTCGTGACGTTTAATATGCAGAACAACAGTCAATGTCTCATTAAAGTTATCGATCGGATTATTGTTTTGATCAACTAACTGCACGGTTATTGAATTAATGCCTGTTTTGTTTAACCTGTAATATATCAAATTTGGTGGTGACTGATATACTTTCGATCCAGTTCTCCCAATAGGGAAAAACTCATATATTGAATGACTTTGAAGTCGTTTGTTGAATGACCCAGGTGCTATATTACACATTACTTTTATAGAGTTAATTGTGTTTAAATTAGCAGCTTTTCCCGACCGAAGAGCTTCATGTAAGGGCTCATAGGTTCTCTATTCAAATCCAAAAACAGATGCTATACTGTTTGGAATATTTAACTTTAGTTTTCCATTACATTTAATGTATGTTCTAAAATCGACGGGATCAATAGATACGTTGAATGTTAGCTGTGTTCTGCATTCATTATTGAAGTGAAATAATTCTTTCTTAATCTTGTTGTTAATATCTTCAATTTCATAACATCCTTCTTCCAAAATAAATATAAACGTTTTTAGTTTCTGTGCATGACCTAATGATGGAATTACGTCTCCAGTCGGTATTAGTTGAATTTATGTTTGGAAATAAATTACGTGTTTTTAAACACAACAAAGCTATTTCCGAATCCTCGTAAACGTTAAGAGATGGAAAATAATTTGTAGATAATATAGTTGTATTTCTAGTCAAACTTAGCGTAATAGATTGATACATTGTAAGAATTCAAGACATAAATGGCCACAGTTTAATGTATTGAAATCTTGGTAGTTGGAATAGATGTATAGTATTTTGAACTGTTTGAAATAATGTTGTAATTCAATTGGCGGTGGTAAATCACCAAAGCTATCAAAATATACAACTTTATCCTTATTTTTATAAAACGCTACAAAATGACTTCCGTCGCCTGAAGAAATATCCAAGTTTAATATGCCACATTCAATAGCATGCGGTTTTTTAGGTAAGTTATCACGTGAAAAGACTCCACGGAAATTATTGATTTTCAACTTTCCGACATATTTTATATATCCTGGGACGAAAGCGGTCTGTCAGGTAGCGTGATCATCAGTTTTTTTTTTAAACTTATTCTTGTTTGATTTCAAACCACTACCTTTTTTTCTTTTTGAATTTTGAACTGCATTATACACTCTCGCATCTCCAAACATCAAACTACCAAGTGCTGACAATCCCGCAAATATAGGTATTAAGGGGATTACGCCTCCTGACTGTGTTGGTGCTAAAATCAACCTTTTACCACCATTCTTTTTCTTCGCTGCTAGTATACCATTTGTTTTTATAGATTTTTATATCCGTTTACAACCCATACCTATTTTACTTTTAGCTGTCATTGCGTTTGTTACTGCTGTTACGTGCTGCCCTAGTATTCTCAATACTGACTACTGAATCGGGGTGATAGGCAATTATACACACGCCTGACCGACTGATTTCTACGCGGCGACGACACTATGGCGTTGATGGGAGGTGAGTAGGTGACGTACATACAGGGAATCAGGACGGTTCATACCCACTTTG